GCCGTTTAATCCTTCTATGATGAGTGCTAGCACTAGCAGCATTGTTGTTAATAGCCAGCCATTCTCACCAATGACGGACTTCCACTCATTTTCTCCTCCTCCACCGCCACCCATTCATTATCCGCCGTTCCCCGGTATTGGTTTTCCACAGTATCCGACGAGGTATAATTCGCCATATCCTCCGATGTATCCTCATCCCAGCCCGAGTGTTGGAGGTTCTACAGCGTCAGCAACGAAGGAAGCAAGGAAGAAGAGAATGGCGAGGCAGAGACGGGTCTCGGTTCTTAATCAGCAAAGGAATAATCAGAGCCATAGCCAGAAGAGCTCGATTTCATCAGCTCCACCTCCTCCTACTGCTGCAACTAATAGCAATAAAGCTTTGAAGAATTGGGCTTTATTGTCATCTGCTCGACAAAAGAATTTGCCCACTTATTCTGCCGCTGGCTCCGTACATTTGTCATCAAAGACATCCAACATGCATCAGACTCAACTGCAGTCGCGCAATTTGTCGTCTACATCTTCGGATAAGCGACAGGTGAGTTTTTAATGAATTATGTTAATTTTGCTGGTTTATATATATTGATTGAGAGTGTCATTATATGTTTACAGGGATGGAAATCTGAGAAGAATTTGAGGTTCTTGTTGAGGAAAGTGCTCAAGCAGAGCGACGTGGGGAGCCTAGGAAGAATCGTGCTGCCGAAAGTGAGCGACCCTCTGCATGGTTTGATTAGCATATTTTACTTTGAATTATTGAGTTCTCAGCCATTTTGATCAAGATTGAAATGCATATATTGAGATACATGAATGAGAATTTATCAGTCAGATGTTTTATGTAACTTTTTTTTGTTGGCGTGTATTGCTGATTAGAAGGAGGCGGAGATTCACTTGCCCGAGCTGGATACAAGGGACGGGATATCTATCCCAATGGAGGACATTGGAACCTCTCGGGTATGGAACATGAAGTACAGGTAAATTTAATTATGGTAGTGGTAGCATGATTTATTTGAATATTCGAAGAATTGCTCAAGTTATTATTACGCAATGTGTTCTATAGGTTTTGGCCCAACAACAAAAGCCGAATGTATCTCCTGGAAAACACAGGTAGATATCGTATATACTTGAATGTAAATAATATTGTGTGCTCTGTTAGTTCAATGTTTATGAATTGTGCATTTGATGTTTAATTATTAGGAGATTTTGTCCGATCAAACGGGCTTCAGGAAGGGGACTTCATAGTGATATACTCGGATGCCAAGGGCAGCAAATATGTAAATATCAACATTATTATCAGCTACATTGTCTATCAAGTTCAAAGTCAAATCAGCTCCTAATGTTTACTTGGCACTTCTAATAAGTTCTTAACCTGATACTTTAATCCATTATGTCCTTACAGTTATTATTTTCAGCCTATTGAACCCTCATGGTTCTCCGCCTGAAATACTCCCATTTTACCCTCAACAAGATCAATAGTGTTTTTGGTTATGCTTGGGGGGCGGAGAACCACTATGGAGAGAATAAATAGACTGGAAATAATAATATACAAATGCTTAACGTGTGAAATTATTTGGTTAAGGTCTTCTTAGAAATGTAAGGTGAACGTTAGGCTGATATGACTCTGAGTTCTTTTGTGTTGTATGGGCGCTAATGTGTTTATATTTCTTGGAAATAAATGTTGACACAGATGATAAGGGGAGTGAAGGTCAGACAACAGTCCGAGACCAAAGGAGCAGCGTGCAAGCTGAGCGCGCCAAAGGCTCATCAGAGGAGGAGCTCCAAGATTACGAGGAATAACTATGATAGCGTGGAAGATCTCTCTTATTGCAGCGATGTAGACGGTGATGAGAATGGCAATGCTTTTCCTTTGAGCATAATGGTGGATGATCTATAATTAGATTATAGTTCTCGTTTGCATGGTTGTCTCCTCTTCCATATATGAGTATATAGTGCATGTTGTAACTAGTATATCGACAAGTGAATGAGCAATAACAGTATGGGTATGCTCAAGGTTTCATCTGTTGTGAGATCGTTTTGTTATCCTGGCAGCTATTGTATGAATATATATCAGGAGCTCAATAAATTAGGATGGTGCAAAATGGAGTATTGTACTGCTATTGTATCAGCGAAGACGAAAATGAAGGATTCATGTCGCCGTGGCTGGTTTCTTTTGAGAAGGGAACGTGAGGGTTTGAGATGGGTACTGTTAAATGATTAGCTATTTCTTCCTCTAGCTGGACTTACTGGAGAGATGACACAACGCAGTCAAATTTCAATGATGAATTTGCCTCTTTGAATTATAAATTTATGCATAGATGGAGAGAGAGAGGAGGGGAGGGATTCTGAGAACAGATATGTGTATTGTTGCGCGCCGTGCGGAAGCGTGCTCGATAACCAAACGAGTTCGCAAGCGATGAGAGAAGAGAACCAAAACCAAATACGAGTGCAATTCACCAAAATACGGTACAAATCAAATTCCAAACACAGATATTTACGTGGTTCGGTAATTGCCTACGTCTACGGTGAGAGGATGGACAGATTTTACTATATGGAGGAGAAATACAACGGGTTACAACTCATAAAATTACTCAAATATAACCCTAACCAAAGCTCTTAACTCCGTCACAATATCTTCCTCTCAAAGTGCTCAAAACAATGCTAATTCTTTCCTTTAGAACTAGAAAAGTATGTTTCTATTTATATCAAAACCCAATCCAAAACAGACCAGGAAATTAAATATGGCACGTAAACGCTTTCCGGTGACCGAACGCATGTGAGCGGTCGACCGACCAGAGAGAGATTTCCATGTTCCTGTAATGTACACGTTTTTGGTCGACTAGTCGAACTCGTTTGGTCGATCAACTATGTTTTCGGTCGACTGGTAGAACTCGTTCGGTCGACCAACCAGAACATGGTTTCAGACCCTGTAATCTAACAGGCTGTCGGTCTATTGGGCCTATGTCGTCGGTCGACCGACCCGAGGGATTTCCTGTACTCGTGTTTTTGCATGATTTTCTCAAATCCTTCGCCATTTTCTATAATTCTCCACCTCGGTGAAGTTTTTCCAAAACTAAGCCGACACCAACATGAGTACTAATGCGTCGTCTCTCCAAATACGGCTGCACCAATATGGTTGCCTACGTACCCCCTCTACCAAGGGATCAAGCTGCCTGTAGTTCATCCAAATGGATGCAAAGGGCCTCAATAATCACGAATTTGTAACAAGTTTCTACAATGATCAAACTTGTTGCTTGGGACCACCTTTGTGAGCATATCCGCTGAATTATCTTTTGTGTGGACCTTCACGAGCTCCACATCCCTATCTTCAAGAACATCTCAAACGAAGTGATAACGAACATCAATGTGTTTCGTCCTCGCATGAAAGATCTGATTTTTTACTAAATAGATAGCACTCATGCTATCACAATAAATGGTGACGGATCGCTGCAAAACACCAAGATCCTCCAAAAGTCCTCAAAGCCAAATCACCTCATTAACAGCCTCCATAATCGCCATATACTCTGTCTCCGTTGTCGACAAAGCTATCGTAGACTGCAAGGTGCATCTCTAACACACCTGCGTATGGATCAAAGTGAACACATACCCCGTCATCGATCGGTGTTTATCCAAATCTCCAGCGTAATCCGAATCTACATCTCCAAGACATAACTGCCCATCGCTAGTGTCCCGCTCAAAAACCAAACTAACATTGAGAGTACCTCGAATGTATCTCAAAGTCCATCTCACAACATCCCAATGACCTGGACCCGGGTCGTGCATGTATCTCAAAACCATGCTCACTGCCTGTGACAAATTCGGCCTCGTACAAACCATGGCGTACATCAAACTTCCAATTGTGCTCGCATATGGAGTCTTCGACATCAACTCTCAATCTTCAATTGTCTTCGGTGAGAAGTCAGTTGAAAGCTTCAAATAGGCTCCTAATGGTACACTAACTGGTTTCGTCTCCATGCTCACATTAAATCACTGTAGAACCTCCTTTAAATAAACCATTTGTGTCAAACAAATTCTGCCCCTATCTCTGTCTCTATCGATCTTCATCCCTAAAATGAGCTTCGCTTCACTCAAATCCTTCATCTCGAACTCGCTCGAAAGCTGAATCTTCAATCTATCTATGGCCGATTTGGAAATAGAAGCAATTAACATGTCATCTACATAAAGCAATAAGTAAATGTACACACCTCCATTCAACTTGCGATAGTACACATAAAGATCAAACTGGCTCCTAATGTATGAATGACTGATCATGAACCCATCGAATCGTTTATACCACTGTCGAGGAGATTGTTTCAGTCTGTATAACGATTTCTTCAACCTACAAACCAACTTTTTCGTTTATGCAGCTCGAAACCCCAATGGTTGAGTTATATAAATTTCCTCATCAAGATCACCATGAAGAAATATTGTTTTCACATCTAATTAATCTAATTCCAAACCATACCGTGCCACCAAAGCTGCAAAATCCGAATCGAATAATGCTTCACCACCGGAGAGAAGACCTCATTGTAGTTAATACCTTCCTCTTGTGCATATCCCTTCACAACTAACCTAGCCTTGAACCTCACGGGAGTGCCTTCAATGCCCTCCTTCTTCGTATATACTCATTTGCAACCAATAGCCTTCTGTCCCTTTGGAAGCTCAACAAGCTCCCATGTATCGTTCCCATGAAGAGACTCCATCTCCTCCTGCATAACCACCTGCCACAAATTAGCCTCCGAATCCTGCTCGGCCTCTCTGAATGTAGTAGGAACCATCTCATCGACACTCTCTACCGGAAGTACATATGTAACGACTATGTCTGTATACCTCGCTAGCATCCGTATATCTCTCATCGGCCTCCGAACCGTAATAGAATTCTGAACCAGAGCCGTCGGTCCTTGATCCTACTCAACTGTACCTGTATCCTCCAAATCATCAATGTGCTCATCTGGCATCACCTTAGTCGGCGCTCTAAAAGATACGGTCTCATCTAGATAATGTGAAGCTACATCAATCTTCTCCACCTGTGATATCTCCTCTGTCGGGGTGCTCTCCATTTGATGAGAGCTAGGAAGCTTTAAGATCAAAGCCTCATCGAATGTGACATCTCTACTCAGCACAATCTTCTTATCAACTGGAGCCTAAAGCTTGTATCCTTTGACACATCACTTGAATCCTACAAATATGATCTTCCTAGCTCGAGGTTCTAATTTATCAATTCTGACATGATAAAATGCATGTCACATAAATACCTTGAGATGATTATAATTGCATGCTAGCTCTCCCGACCACATCTTTATAGGGTTTTTTTCCTTAATCGTAGATGAAGGCAGCCTATTAATAAGGTTGCTCGCATATGAAAGTGCCTCAGCCCAAAAGATCTTCTCCAAACCACTCTGTGATAACAAACATTAGACTTTCTCCAGTAAAGACCGATTCAATCTCTCTGTTACCCTATTCTGCTATGGTATATAACTAATTATGAAGTGATTCTCTATGCTCTCGTCTCGACATAGTTGCTGAAAGGGGTCTAAAGTATACTCGTTGCCATTATCGGATCGCAACATCATGATCTTTCTCACTATCTGCAGTTCCAATCTTCTCTTCCACTCCACAAATAACTCTAGGACTTCATTCTTATGCTTCATGGTGTACACCCAACAACGCCAAGAATAGCCATCTATAAAAGTGACGAACCAATGTCGACCACCAAGTGATGCCGTCTTGGTGGGACTCCAAACATCCGCGTGCATGTAGTCTAAGATACCTATCGCCCTATGTGCCGCTGTCCCGAACTTTACCTTTGTCTTCTTACCAAGAATACAGTACTCGTAGAATTCTATCATTCCACTCTTGGCTCTTTTCAATAGCCCATGTTTGCACAAAACCTACAGTGACTTTTCACCTATGTGCCTTAACCTATAGTGTCAAAGTATGCTCGCATTCGCCTCTGAAATAGCTAAAGCTACCTGACCAATCTTGATACTTCCTTTCGGATAATACAAATCCCTACTGCGAACTCCCTTTATCATCACCAAAAATCCATTAGTAATATTCGCTACAGCGTTCTCAAAGGTCACCTTAAATCCCTTCGCCTCTAAAGCTCCAACAGAAATAAAAATCTTCTTTAACTGAGGAACGGATCTTATTTTATTCAATTCATGAACACCTCCATCGTGCATCCGTATCCTGACGGTACATATCCCACAAATGCTACAATATTGATCATTTCCCATGACTACCACGCTCCATCGAGTCTCTCGAACGATGCAAACCAATCTTGTCGGGGAGTCATATGATAAGTAGTACCAGAATCTAAAATCCAATCATATGCATCCACATGGTTCACCTCTGGAGTAATCAATAGAGAAAAGCACGAATTATCAGAATCATCACCTCTAGCAACGTTCACCTCATTGGCCTTTGGGCCCTTCTTCTTGCTATTCTCTTTCTCTTTGAGCTTCGAGCAATCTCTCTTTCAATGTCCTTGTTCTTTGCAGAACGCACACTTGTTCTTTGCTAATTGGTGGTGGCCTCTTAACTTTGACCTGCCTCTATTGCCACCTCTTGGATATGAACTTCTTCCTCTAGTTGACAAGGTCTCTCTTGAAGTGCTAGCTCGATAAGTCTCTTTGTCCTTCCTCCTCAAATCATAATTCATCAATGCATTAGTCACTTCACTATAGGTGATGAAAGATCTTCCATTCAATAAAGTGAGCACGAATGTATCATACTCCTCATCGGGTAAGGATCCCAATAAAATAATCGTCTTGTACTTGTCCGTTATCTTCTCATTCACGTTTACCAAGTCCGATAAAAACTTTGTATAGTTGTTCACATGAGCCGCAAGTGAGGTGCCCCTAGACATCTGAAATCTGAATAATCTTCGCAGGAAGTGCAAGCGATTCTCAACACTCTTGGTAAGGTACTTGTCGTTAAGAATCTCCCACGTCTTCATCGTAGACGTCACATCAATCACATCGTATTTCAGCTCTTATTCTAAACAAGACCTGATCACCCCATAAACATTCCTATTCATCTTGTCCCATATCGCATCATCGTATTTTAGTAGCCTCTTATG